AATAGAGTTTTGGTTCCAAAAATCCTATAACTTCTGAGTCTCTGGTCTTACTGGGAAAACGTTGAGTGGAATTCATTGGGTTGCGTAAACAGAAGGCCTCTGGAAATGTTTGGAATTGAAAGGAAGAAGTAGTCAGATGGGAAAGTGATTTCTCCAAATGGGTGCTCAAGACTTTAGGGCACGACATATTTCATGGCCGCCCACACCGACGAAGGGGTTTTCCTTTGGGAACCCTAACCGGAGCCTTTGACTCAAAATTCTGATCCACAAGGCAGTGGGGCGTAAATCCAACGCGGGAGGGTGAACGAAGCACACGTGTGGGGGCTTCTAGATACCTGTCACGCAAGGCCTTTGAATTTCTGTTAAGTTTTTTGTTTGCTGGTGCGTAAATTGTCGGTCCGCTTTTCAAGATCAGCCCTCAGCCTCATGCACCCAATGCGATAAGTAGAACGTGGACGAGACAACACCTTATTGGGTGGGCGGTAGCTGTCCAATGAAGTGTGAAGACTTTTCTCACCGTCGAGAGGAAGCCCCAGGTACCCCGCACCTATATCCTTCTATGGGACGTTTTACCGGTTAACTGCCCCCTACCGTATTTATTAGCTGGACTGACCTCTCCAGAGGCGGATGTGGATAAGGTGAAGGTGACCCAGCAGCTGGATTTGTGAAAGTGAGCTTTGTCTGGCCTCAACCCTTTGACTTTTCGGGCATGATTGGATCTATGGCTGAGAAAAGCCATCCTGTATGGCTCGCAGGGCCATGGAGGCACGCAGGCCATCAAACCACGCTAAGGTGCAGTCTCGTCGTGATGGGAAATCACTATTTAGAATCTTAGGAGTTAGTGAGATATGGTCCACTGACTTTGACTTTCCCAGGACAATTCGACTGTATTTAAGCATGGTTGTCTGTTGAGTCAGCTGAACCCAACGCTAAATCATGCAATAGATCGGTGATATTACCAGATAGTTTTCGATTACTAGAAGAGCTATTCATGCTCCTCCAAGATCTCGCATTTCTCATGCAAAAATCCCACGATGTCGCTTAATGGAGTAAATTTCATCGGACTTGTTACTGCCTTATTGTGTTGACGACCAGGAGGCATGGTACAGAAAATAGAGGGATGTATTGCAGCACATATGAAAGATCAAAAAGCATTCGTTATATTTATGCACAAACATTTGTACAAAGATATACTTCTGAATTCAATAAAATTGTTCAAACCTGTGTGTCAGCTGCTACATGTTATTTGTACCTGTATCAAATGGTTGTGATTGCATGCAATGGTCCAGTGATTTTGAACACTAGTTGGAAGATGATAGGAGTTATTCTTTTAATTGTGGGTCCGTGAATTCTACCCACACCATATTTTGAATATCCACAAACACAAGAGAGTTTCATCTACATCACTACCCTAATTAAATAATAAACTGTTCCAGGAAACCGAAAAATCAAAATCATTCTAAAAGGGTTGATACTTGATACTCACATTTGGATATCTTCTACTTCCACGCTCTTCATCTAGGTGTGTCATGAAAGTCCATCTGGCTTGGGTTTTCATCCATCTTATCAAGACTTTTGCTTGCACGAAGTAAAGGTACACCAAGGCGACAATCCATCCAATAAACACCAGGAGTAACACTGTCAAACATACCGCTCCAATGATCCACAGGAAATCATCTACCTCATTGTATGCTTCCAGATCGTAAACTGGACAGAAAAAGATGCATAAGTAATGAATTAATGATATAATTTAACTTTTGCTTGAACTTTCTACTCATTGGTTTTTCATCCAAAGATGATAATGAATTTCCTAAACCTTTTCAAACAAAAGATTTTCCTAAACATTATGTTCCAAATGAATAGATTTCTTCTCAATGCATTTCAATAAAACCCTTGTTGAAAGAAACAGATTTTCATTAATCTGGGGATGAATATCTATATCAATCCCTCTCAAAAACTGATTGTTCAGCTGTAAAATCAGCAAAACTCAAGCGGAGATCACTAATAGGCAACATTTCAAACTATACCCAAATAAATATCACTGAGAACGCTACGTTTGATCAATAGAATTTCATTAACGCAAGTACCAAATTTTCTCATAAAAGTGCGATTGTTGATTGAAAGTAATTGCGACAAAAGTATACATTTTTGAGGTAGTAAGTCATATTCAGAAACCCATTCCTTTGAAACTGTTTTTATTACTCACATTTATGACAAATTTCTTGAGTTTCGGGTATTTTATCACTGTCGTTGATGTAACCAGTGAGAACAGTGACATTGTGATCTGATACGACATAGGTGTGGAGAGGAACTTAGCACTGCGGTAACATCTGATAATCAAAATCATTTCAACAATCTAGCAAAGCTACATAACCCTCTATCTCTTTCTGGAACTTAATATTGTCCTCTTAAATGTATCTCTTTCATCAATTAAACCAGACATACCACCTCAGAACAGCGGAGATTGTAAAAAACAGTGATCCAAAAACGCCAACACAACTGAGAGGGCTTCCAAGACACAGACTATTATTATGGAGTCAGATCGATGAACGGAGCACACCACACAGAATCATATTAGCGGAGATAATCATTTTCACAAATGAATGGAAACCGTGTGCAATCTTTTCCAATTACGGGTACATTCACCAAACAAAGAATGATTTCAAATACTTCGTGAATGACATTATAGGAATCCTCACAAATTCAATCCAATGGTACATGAACAAATTAAAACAAGATATAAGTCAGTTCAAATGATCAGTAGAAGGGATTTAATGGGATCACTTGGATAATATCCGGTAAAAACTCGGGCTCCGCTTCAAACTGAACGAATTGTGCAATAACTTCAATTTTTCCATCAATATGTACATTACAGAAAGTTACCCTAAAATTTAAGTAAGTATTTCGATCTTCCTGGACGATGTGTGTGATATAGCAGTAACGAGACAGGTATCCCCTCTCTAGTATTGCATTAGAGATCACATCGGAATACAACGTACCCACTGCTTCACAACTGCGTTAGGTAGGATGATATGCAATGGAGATAAGGACTTACTGAAAAATCTCATACTACTAATGAGTAATCGCATTATGATGGAGAAAAATGCGTTCCCAACTGTGCTCTGAAGTTCATTGTACCACACAATGTCCCATAAACCACAAATGGTTCATTTTAACTCACTTTGAGGTTTTTGTACCAACTGGATACCGAGAATAATGGCTAATTCTTGCAAAGACATTCGCGCAAAGGTTTGCATGACTTCTATGGCACTGATATAGTCCTGTTCCTTCTTGACGAAGAACGTCAGTTCCAGTTTGTTACGCTCACGTAGAAGCCGCATTTGTGCAACCTTGATAGATGGGATAAACGTCGATATTCCGACATCCAAATCTCATCGTATTGCCCTTTAAGGTGAAAATTTCTAACTGAAGCTTTTCTTAAAATTTAATAGCAATTACTAATGTAAGCATAATGCCAGCCTCAGGGATTAACTGAAGCCGTCCAACACTTGTTGAAACAACTGAATCCCGATGTATTCATAGCATTTTAGAAGTTACCATGAATAAACAAAACAGAGCATCAGTAGATGGATCACTTATGTAAAATTGTACGTAATATTCCAAATAATTTGTAAAATAAATGACTGAATAATTAGAGTGCTCATAAACCATTAAATTTACTGAAATCAATGAAGTGCACATCAGTTTCATATTGTATAAAAAAATGGTTATGGCAGCATAACCAACAACTACTCGCCTACTGCAAAGCTTTTTTCGCTGGAATAAACACATTTGTGTGATAAAACTACTTGTTAAACAAAGATAGTTGCTTTTGGTCTGAAGAAACATGAGTAAATACAAGAGCTACTTATTCTTTCCGGTTTTCAGCCACACAGAGGTGTTCACGAATCCGTTCAAACAATTGATTACATATGCGGTTTCGCACAGGAACTAATAGATGAGCATACACACAATGAGACAACAGATTTGGGAACCTTGTTCTCTATTGGTAAGCACTTAATCGGCTTGAAAGTGAACAACACTTGAAGGTTTCATGCAGAGAGCTTATGGTCAGTTACGATGGATAACCTTCGCTGTATAATCTGAGGTACCGTTTCCCCCTTTGATGGCAAAGAAATGTCTGCTGACGTTTTCTTAACCACACTATTTTTTAAAATATTCTTCATGCACCGAATCATTTAGTTAGCTAGACGTACCGGATACCCACTGCATGCAAAGATCGTTGTTATAAACCATAGCTCGTCTTCTATATAGTCCTCACAACTGATCTTCCTTGCCCTATCCACTAGGCAAAGAATCAGGTTCCTTTTTACCTTTCACCGCACAATGTTTTGAAATGAATATATTGGTCTTTCTATATACCAAACGGCAATGGTGTGTTCATGACTCGAAGACAAATCTCAAGGCTATCGACATTTTATCATGGGTAAATTTATCGAAACTGAAACTGAGATATGATTTAGAATGCATATTTTGCCAGTGTACTGTCACAGGAGCACAAAGTGAACATGATGGTTCCTAGCGGGAATCAAGAAAATTTACAGCATTATCAGTAGTTTTTAGTATGTACTTAATAGAGCGAAGTTTATTTAATACTGGTATAGGTTATCCAACGCTTGCTCTTTTCATAAGACCCAACTTATAATCGATGTATTGCCCAAAAATATTGGATGAGAAGGTTGCTTAATCTGTTCTTCCACGTGGTCCGTGAGTGAATTTATAACTATTGTAGATACGCCTATCATCTTTATCAGTCACTTGTAAGGTGCACAATGAAGCACAACTTCATGGCCTTCAGTGCCTCTCACATTAGTTCAGTCACTGACTGGATGATTGGAGTCGAGATAATCTAGCAATAACTAATGTTCGGGATTTCATTAGTCTTCAATCATCACGAATACAACACCTTTATTTTTCAGTGAGGCTGGTCTCTTGTAGATTGAAAACAAACTACTTAAAATCTCTGATTTATTAGATAACTTTTGAAAATGAAAGATGGGAACAAAAAGTCACCTGTCACTTCATTGTGTCGAGCTTTGCTTGGATCCGTAAAAGCAATACTTATCAATTTGGATGATTGAACGTTCTAAGGTGTTTTAGCTGAACATCGAATAGTTTGAACCTTTAAATCGTTCGAAGCTGTATGTTAAAAAGAATAAATCAAATTAAGTTAAATTGGTACATTTTGGTACTCACTTTGGCTTCGTAAATCTCTAACGATGGGATCAAACCGGATGAGTAGTTCTTTATCGAGTTGGCGTGTGCAATAGCAAATGCCTTGGACAATCTCTGTTCTATTTGGTTCACTGGAGTGGCCAGATTTAACTCTGACGAAAACAATCATGTAGAAATAAGCGACAATGCTACCCATTACTACCCAGAAAGGAGACAGTCTTTCATCTGAGGGTGATAAATTAACTGCTTTTGTCCATTGTAGACACACGATTTGAATAATTACGATCCATCGCCACATTAATAAGCGCTGCGAAGGAAAAGAAGGAAGAAATACATAGGTTCACAGATAAAATTTTAGAAAAATAGAATGATAAGAATGGGGCTACTTATGTTGTTTCTTTGAACTGTTTGTTTTCAGTAATTAATTACTCGCTAAATATACCTCTGCACCGCTGGTTACTACTATACACACTGGTCAAGTGACGCGAATTTCCTTCGACCAAAATATTTTACCTCGCACAAACAATAGACGAAAATAAGCCATTTGAAACTATATTTTCATATAATATGTTTACCACACTGCCATGGACTCTAACTTATTTGATTTTTTTCACTTTAAAAGCTATCATCTTTTCCATTTTATCCACAAGTTTTTACAACCATTCAATTTGGTCAAATAAGTCCCAAAATTCTATCACTTTAAGGTTGAACGTTGTCGGAGATATCATTGTAATGATCCTTGATATATATATATATATATATATATATATATACTGCCAAAAAGCATGGTGAAAACGTCACAACAACAATAACAATGGAAATGACAGGGGATGAGTGGTTTACAGAACAGAGTGAAAAGAAGGCAAATCCATGGAAAATTGCAGATAACTGGAATAGAAAATTCTTTGTTTCATCGTACATATTTTGGAATCGGTAAGTAAGAAGACAAACACTGCAACAGTAATTCCTTTCTTATACTCTCACTGATCGCAACCAAATAACATTAGGCAAGATAGACAGATATTAAAGGAATTGAGATGGCAAACAAATTGATAACTTGATTGTCTGTTAGTCTCGTTTTTGTTACTATTTAGCCATAGCCAGATTGAACTATGAAGCAAGCCTTCCTGTGTGCCATGCATGTTGAAGTGAGTGTAAGAATGAATGGTGAATATAGGAAAGTTAGTCTATGATTTACATGCAAGGATCAAAAAATACGACGCATCTGAGGAAGTGGATGACTTGCAATAATATTATTCTTCTTTACACAATCTGTTAATATATATATATATATATTATTTGTCTAAATTTCCATCAGGTATAATTTTTTCCTTCCATTTTCCTGAAGATTTAGAGTTTTGTTGTACCTAAAACCATAAAGATAACAACAGAAAGTACTCCGCAATTAGTATCAAGGGACTATAACTACAGCTGAACAGGTTATGTGAGTACAATGTCTACCACCTGTTTATAACGGTAAACATGAGCATATATTCTAGCATAACATACTCATTTATGGAATTTTGAGAAGAGGGTGAATGAAGTCTTATGCAGGTGCTATCCGAGTACTATTGGAAAACCATTTGAATGTGCTTGGGAAGAGTTGATTTTAATCCCTTTTCGGGTGAAAGCAGACCCAAATACTCATTTCAGTGTGTACAATAAAAAAGTAACCTAAATCAATCATGTATTCAGATCACTGTGTTATCAGCGAGAAACCTTGGCTCCTAAAATGACGTATGGTTTACTTGTCCTGCTATTATCTCAAAAGTAGAGATTTCAGTGCAGTGTTGCATCCAAGAGATAGACATAAGTGAAAAGTATAGGAGCTACTACTCACTTCCCTCTTAATCCTTCCAAGAAGCCGGCTCCGGGATTATCGTGTTTTACCACAAATTCCTGTGGAAGCCAACACTATTGTACAGCCGCTGACATTCTCTGGTAGTCTATATCATTGAGCACAGCACTCCGGCAGCAGACGCAGCGATGCGTGGCCAAAATTAACTTCACCTTGAGCTTCCTGGAGATCCACGTAATTTATTATATACTTCCCGAATAACAACAAAACAAGAGATTGATTCTGGTGTGTATATTCACTTTGAGCTTAAGGAAGGAGTGCAATTGGTTTTTGCAGATATTTGTGTTATTGACATTTGTATGCAAAAACAAGTAAAAATAGATGTTATGTCCATTTTCAACGGGTCTAATCAGCAACTATAGCCCATGGTGGGTCCTGTCTGTCATCCGAGATTGAAAATATTCATCATTGGTCTTCGTTATGAAATTTCCCAGCCAAAGGATGCAGAATCATATCTATCAGATTTGATGAGTTGAAAATTTTGTGTACAGTTGAATTCACAATCCCCCGCAAGAGTCAACCAGTTGTTATATCTCTGCACAACTTTATAGCCAATGCTCCGACTAAAACTTCCAGTAGGCAGATTAAACATCCTTCTGGGTATTCAAGCTGCACCAGATGTAGGCAACGGAGCGTAAGCAATAATCGCCGTCTGGTATTTCCCGATATCCAAGGGATAATGAGAACAGATTACATATTTGAACACGAAGAAGCGATGAACATCATGCCGACACCAATTAATTTTGAATACTTCGGTGTGGGCATGATTAACTTGTTCGCCAATGGCCAAATGCACGATATTTGTCTGAGAATAATGAAGAGATTGTTAAATATGCGATAAAAATCTATTCCAAGTCGTCATGTTCTTTGAGTTTCTCGTGACATGAGAACTTTGATTCAGCGAATGAAAGAGATACAAGGGTGTTTAACATGCATATTCCCACGTGTATCCTGTACATCATTGGACATGGAATATCGGAACGCCAGTGAATACATACAACTCATGCTATACATCGGTCTAAAAGGAATATTCTGTTAAGTGAATATTATAAAAACTACTTCCAGTCTTCCCTCACAGTGTTCAGTTTGGTGCATATTGTATCTAGAATACTTAGAGAAGCTAGCCCCTAAGACAATTAATCAGTTCATGAAGCTTTACGGATATTTTTAGGTGGTATTCAACTCGCATGGTTGCTGCACACGTGCGAGAACGTGAAGTTGAAAGGACCTTTAGACTCTTGCTCAGCCTTTATTTTTGAGTCTTTCATGCAGACCATTCGGCGATGCATTTCAGGAGGAAATATGGTTAAAGGACAGGTTTTCCGTAGAATTCGTGAACGAAACAGCGCATTATATCTGGGTATCATTGTGGGATGACACTTTGTCAATAGGTGTGTTTAAGCGGGGTCTAAGAGGGACCACTTTGCACAATGAACATTCAGTTTTTACTTTTAGTCACTCTAATTATTACCCATTGGTCAATAACACTCTATCTATTATATGCGACAACAAAAATGACACGATACACTACAAATTGTACACTTAAAGGGCAACGCCAGAGGAAGATACGCAGCTGCTTATGATCCTACAAAATACCAGCGTTTTGTCATTAGTGGCGACTTCAATTTTCCGGAGGTAACATGATAAACGGGGTACGCAATTAAGGAATACTCTGAGGCTGCATTCTTGCAGCCTCTACAAGAAAGAGCTCTGACACAGCATGTGACAAGAGCAATGAGATACCGAGGACAACAGAAATCCTTGCTGTTCGATCTAGTTGTCACGAGGTACTGCTCGGACATAATCAATCTAAATATGGAAGAACCTTTGTGCAAGAGTGACCACGAAGTTATCCGCTTTAGAATCGTGTTTAGCTATCGTAGGCACGGACCTACTACTATGCATCTCTTTGGTCGCATAAACGCCACAGAATTGGCATAAGCTGCAAACGCCTTCAGCTGGTACTCGACGTCTCCAAAATATAAAGTGCAACATAGATGGAAATTAGTTAAAACAGGGTTAACAAGCCTCACAGAAAGGTTTACTCCACTGAATGAAGGAAGAACGAGGCATTGACCAATATGGTAGAAACCTGGGATAGAGAGAGCGCTGAAAATTCACCGACAATACTGCGACCGCTTCAAGCTCCATGGCGCTCAACAAGCCTGGAGCGACTATATACGGACGCGCAACAGATGTCAAGATCTCCAAGGGCGTGCTAAATGTGACTTTGATTTTAA